TGTGTGTGTGTGTGTGTGTGTGTGTGTGTGTGTGTGTGTGTGTGTGTTAGAAAATAGTCTGAATATAGGCAATCTTTGAAAGAACATATGAATTTTGACTAATTTGCTAAATCTTTGATTTATTTGTAGGTGCCCTAAAAATGAATACAAGTGGAAACAAAAAGGTAAAACACTTCTTTGATTCACAGGTTTTAAAAATATTTTCACATTTTAAGCATTATGGTAAATTGTTTTTGTTTTTCCATTTACAGCTTTTACATAAAGAGGAAAACATAATGAAATATCCAAAAGAAACAGAAACACTGCTGAGAAGACTTAATCTTCAAAACAAAGAACAGAAGTTATCACAAGAAGACTTTCTTAAAATAGGTCGACTTGAGAAACAGAATACTGACATTTCTGAAAAAGATCTTGCTCAAACTTTTCTTCAGAGGTTAATGATGTTAGATTACAGAGCCAGATACATTCCTGTACGGCAAGAACATTCAAATTCAAGCAAAGTACAGGCTTTTCCTGTGTCTGACCGAGTCGATACAAATGATGATGATGATTTGGCTGCTCTTTTTAATAGCTGTGTGGAGATGAACCAGTCTAAAGAGACACATGTGCACCCAATGGATGTTCAAATGGCAGTTTTTCACTGCTCAGACAGTTTTCTTAAACAAAAAATGATCACAAAGTTGTCTCAGTGTCAGTATGCCTTACCTTTGCTTGTTCCTGACCCTGTTACAATGAATACTGAGTGTCCTTTGTGGACATTTAGACAAATAACCAGAACATGGAAGATTACTGAAAACAAAAACAATTCAGTAACGGTCACCATGAGGAGCATGCCAATCTACAAAGCTGAAACTCCCATGATTTTATTTTTCCGCCTGGGTTCATTGTGTGTGTCTAAATCACAGCTGATGAACACCTTGATCAATGACCGCCACAACACATTCTTCCACAGAAACTGTCCAGGAAGTACCAAATCTCGTCATCTGATGGATGGTGTGACAGAGATTGCCTGGTACTGCCCTTCTGGAAAACCCAATGATTCCTTTACAAACTGCATTGCCTTCTGTAATCTTCATGGTGATTCTCTGTTGGTTGAAAGGCAACGTGAAATACTGACTGAAAAAGCTTCAGTCATTGTTGTTCTTGTACCAACTTTGGAGAAAAGTCAGGAAAGTAGTACAATCATCTCCACCCTGTACAAGTCTTCAAAACCTCTAATAATTCTTATTGGTGATAATGACTGTAGTGAAGTTCAGATGAAACCACTAAAATACAAACTGGGTCTAAAAGACAGAAACCAGGCAGATGTTTCTGAAGAAATTAAGAAGATTATTGGAAAGACTTTGTCTGGACCCCACACATCTTTCCAACTTGAATCCCTGACCAAAGTCTCTGGAGTCACAGTGGATGAAAACAAGACTGTTTGCCATATGGGAAAATCTGCATCAATGAAAACTGTGAAAGTGATTGAGGGACATGATATCATCAATATCAAAAATCAATTTCTCCCTTGTCAAGGGCAGCTTTGGCATGATTGGTGCAAAATAAACAAGGAAATACACCATCTCAAAGGACACATTGAAAAAGAAAAAGCTCAGAAAACTTCCCAACAAATGCTACTACGGCAGAGCCAATGCACTGTTTCCAGTAAGAAACCCAATAGAATGCTGATGGAGTTATTCACCAACAGTCTCATAAGTTTACCATCAAAAGACAGAGAATATTTCTTGAAATGGACTCAGATCTTCATTGATGCCCTCTCTACAGATGATCTGTCCTCAATTCTCCAAAAATATGATGAAACCTGGTCTGAGGTCTTAGATCTCAAGAAGAAACATGACAAATCTGACAAGTTAAGATGCAAACAAACTGAGCTTGAAAAGTTGTCTAAAATGCTGCAATCAGCAACCTTTGGCCTAGAGCACCTCTTCAGAGAAATGGGACAGATCTATGAAGCCCATAAATCTCAGAAGAAACAAACAGAGAGCCAACATACTGAATGGACTAAATACCCTGAGCTGGCTGCAGATCTGATGATATCAGGACACCCGATGGAGCTGATGGATGGTGATGCAGGTCATGTGCCTTTAACGTGGATCTCCAGTCTTATACAGGAAGTCATCAAGAAACTGGGTGACCGAAGAGTTTTTGTGTTGTCAGTTTTGGGTGTACAAAGCAGTGGAAAGTCAACAATGCTGAACGCCATGTTTGGACTGCAGTTTGCAGTGAGTGCTGGGAGGTGCACCAAAGGGGCCTACATGCAACTGGTTAAACTGTCGGACGAAATCAAGAACGATTTCAAGTTTGATTATATTTTAGTTGTGGACACTGAAGGACTCCGTGCTCTTGAGTTAGAGGGTAATACCACTCTTCATCATGACAATGAACTGGCAACATTTGTTGTTGGCCTTGGAAACATGACGTTAATCAACATCTTTGGTGAGAATCCAGCTGAGATGCAAGATGTCCTGCAGATTGTTGTTCAGGCTTTTATGAGGATGAAGAAAGTAAATCTTTCTCCAAGTTGCGTGTTTGTTCATCAGAATGTTACAGACATTGCAGCCGCAGAGAAAAACATGGAAGGAAAAAGACGCTTGCTAGAAAAACTGGACAAGATGGCTAAACTTGCTGCCAAAGAGGAGATGTGCGATGTTAAGTGTTTCAGTGATGTCATTGCATTTGATGTGCAAAAGGATGTGAAATACTTTGCCCAGCTCTGGGAGGGAAGTCCTCCAATGGCTCCTCCAAATCCAGGTTATAGTGAGAGTGCCCAAGAATTGAGAAAAGTTATCCTGTCGAAGGCTTCACCGTCTTCTGGAGTCACTTTGTCACATTTAAACAGCAAAATTAAGGACTTGTGGAATGCTTTGATGAATGAACACTTTGTTTTTAGTTTCAAAAATACCCAAGAAATAGCAACATATAGAGAACTTGAGGTTCAGTATGGGAACTGGACTTGGGCCCTGAGAAGTGAGATGCTGACAATTGAAAACCAGTTTTATCACAAAATTGAGAAGGGGCAACTTGAAAATCTTGAGCTCAGTTGTCTTTTCAAAGAAATGAGGAAAATGTATGAAGAAATAAATACAAATATTGCAACTTACTTTGAGACGAACAAAGAGAAAGACATTTTGGTTCAGTGGCATAAACAATTTGAAACCAAAATCAAAGAGTTTCATGATGAGCTTGTTAGAGGAGTGAAGATAAAACTGGACGAAGTTATCCAGCAGAAGAAAGCTCGTAAAAAACTTGACATGAAAAAGCCAGAGTTTGAGAAGAACCTGCTCCAAAAGAGCAAAGAGCTCGCACACAAGCTAAAATTCATGGTAGACGATGAAGTGGAACTTGAACAACAATTCAATGTAGTTTGGAGACACTGGGTTACAGAATTAACTTCAGATACAGAACCCATTAAAAACATAAACTTGGAGAAAGATCAGTTCACTGTCCTTCAAGACCTTGGCACTGAATGGCAACTCATTGAAGAATCAAAAAGTAGTCGGAGATACAAAAATTTGTCACAAGTTGGAGATTATTCTGAATACATAACCTCAAAGAAGAGCATGATAAATTATCTGAAAGCAAAATTCTGTCAATATGACCAGCAGAACGCAATCAGAGGATTCATTTTTCGTGTTGAACAACAATGTCTGAAGTACATTATGAGCAAACCTGTTGCAACAAGAGGTTACAGCTCAACTTATTTGCACGAAGTGGGGCAAAATGTCCTAAAGAGAGCAGCAGAGTTTCAGTTAGGACAGAAATTTACACTTAAAAAGGAGTTTCTAGTTGATTTGTCACTGTATGTGTTTGACAGTGCAGCAAATTGGATTTTAAAGTCTCACAAGACATACAAAGATAACAATGATGCACTCACTTATTTGAACAGTAAGAAAATGGAATATTACAACATTTTCAGGAGTTACTGTAAAGGAAACTCCTCTGCTGTTGTGTTTGGAGAAATGATGTGTGAAAAACTGAAGGTTTCTGCTGTTGAGGCTGCCTGTAACAAAACTGGCATTGATATTGCTGGAGAGATGAGGTGCAGTTTCCCAGCATTCAGTGGGAACAGGTTGAACTTGGAGAAACATGTGCTGGCATCACTTACAGAAAAAGATTTTAACAACTTTGTCACCTACATCAGAAATCCAAGAACACAAGTTGAAACATTTATCAAAGACGAAGTGCAGAAATACATGTTCACAACACACACAGAGAAATCCCTGAATATTCTGATGAAAAATGTAAATAACATTGGTAAATTTGTCAGTCAAGTTTTATTTGAGGCAACGGAGAAAGTCAAAACGAACCAAGGAGACACAGACATGTGGGTGAAGGAGTTTTCCAGTTTACTGAAACCCAACCTAACTCTTGACGCCATTTATTGTCAGAACTTCAGTGATATCAACACTTTTGACTTTCTTAAAGAAGAGATGGAGAAAAGCCTTGTTGACATAACTGTGGAGATGAACAACCTCTCCCTGGAGAAGGTGATGGAGTGCAGACAGAAACCCGATCAAATCCTCATTGATCAGCTGTGCAACTGCTGCTGGGAAAGGTGTCCGTTCTGTTCAGCAGTTTGTACCAACACCCTGAAAAACCACAGTCCTGAAAAACACACTGTTCCTTTTCATCGACCATCTGGAATTGAAGGCTGGCACACAAGAGGCACAGTGGATCTGGTCATTGATTTCTGCACCACTTTAGTGGCAAGTGATGGACGCTTCTATCCCAACTATAACTCAGATGAGATTTTTCCTTATAAACAATATCCAAAAGCTGGGGAGAGATATGAGTCATGGAGCATCACTGCCGATGCATCTATGCTGACATACTGGAAGTGGTTTGTGTGTCACTTTCAAAAGGAACTTGAAGACTACTATAAAATGAAATTTCAGGGTGGAGGAGAAATACCCAGTGAATGGAAAAAATACAGTAAACAAGAAGCCATTGAAAGTCTGGACGAGATGTGCAACTTGTGAAAAACAAATCAGAATCAGTGCCCAAATGGTTCACTTAAGAGGCTTTCAACATTTAAATAAAACATGCCCTAATATTAAAAAGACTGGTGTGAAGTTCCTCTGAAATCTATAAGGTTACCCTGTTTTTAATTTGATTAACGTGTGCTTTCATTCAGTAAACTATAAAGTTGAGCTATAATATGTTGTGTGAGAGCCCATAAAACGAAACATTTTATTTTTACTTTCTTGTTATTCATTCAAATAAGATAAACTGATGATTATTGTGTTTCTCAGCTACTTTATTTTTCATGACATTAACATCATGGCATTTATATAATTAGGGAAATAACCCAACACATATATTTGTTTTACTTTATCTAACAGAACAATTGTATTTCATAGTATGTTTAAACTTTTTTTTAGTTCTTTTTTAATTACAATTTCCTCATAAAATGGAGTTATAATATACAGTATAATGTATGTTCAAACTGTCATTCTGATCAATGTGTCACAAAATTATTTTAAAAGAAACAAAAAACTAGTCCCGTGTTGATGGTTTTATTGTTTTGAAATTGTTTTTGTTGTTGTTCACTTTGTTGAAAGAATGTTGGTTAAAAATGGTGTTTAGCTCAATATTTAACCAATGAAATAATTTGTATTTTTATCGGTTTTTTTCCACTTATTCAATTACAGTACATCCATTTTAAATGAGCTTTGTGCTTTGCAATAATGAACTAATGATTTTGCAGAAGAATATAAATATCCTATAAAGTAATAAAGATACCTTTCAGTGACTCTTCTTGTAAAGGTCTTTGTTCTTTTTAAGATGTTCAAGGGACCCAGAGGTGAAAACTTGAAAAAGTTCCTACTTTTATAGACAAACACAATTATGTGGACAGACATGAAAAAAGGTGAAGCTTCAGATTATTAGGCAGGAACTGACACTAATCCACCAGCCGAGACTGCTTATGAGAACATGCATCATCAGAAGTCAGTCCCACTCCTGCTGGCCACAAAACTGGACCATACCAGGCACTGACCCCACTCCAAGATGGCCCAATGTACCCATATGGAGGTCTTTCTGTTACCTGGGCCTGTAATCAGATACTCCTTTCTGCAGTTGGAAGGAATGGAGCTGTAAATCCTGGGAACCATCAGTTTCAGCCAATGATGGGAGATACATATTTTAGACAAGTTGGACCAGAAGAAATGTAGAAACTGAGGAAAAATTAATCAAAATGCATTTGTGTTCACTTTAAGTGTACCTTTTTTCTTTTCATAACCATGGATAGGAGGTGTCTAGTGTTATTCCTTATACATGATCATATGAAGTGATTTAATTTGAGTATTTTTAAACATGAGAAGGAGTAAGTATTTACCTTTTTATGGATGGCTATGAGTGGCAGTTGTCCTCCAATGCGAGAGTTGGGGGTTCAATTCTAGCAGTTACATGCTGAAGTGACCCTGGGCAAGACACTGAACCTCTCATTGCCACTGATGTGTGTCCCATTGGTGTATGAATGGTATAAAACACTGGTTAATCTTTGTACTGATAGGAGAGTGCTGTATGAACAGGTAAATGGGGACACAGACTGTAGTGTAAAGCACTTTGAGTATGTTGATAAGATAGAAAGGTGCTATACAGTAAATTTACTATTTATGTATAATTATCACAGGAGTTTGTAAAATTCCTGTGCACAATAGAAATCAAGGTTTTTTGCTTGTGGAGCTTGAACAGAAGAGCCTCCTGGAGATGTAAGCTCTGATGACAGGTTGACGACCTCTCTGGGTTCACTGACTGTTCCTCGTCAAAGTGAATATAAAAACTGCAGCTATTTGGCCTTATCTCATTCAGGTACTTTTTAAGTGAAAATTGTACTTTTCTGGTAAATTTTCCTGTTCATTATTGGTAAGTTGATGCTTGCTTGTTGTTGGGCTGTCAGTAGGTAACTCAAGCAGGTCTGAACCTCCCACACACGTCTGGATCAGTGGCAAGAGAAATTACTGGTTGAGTTTGAGCTGGTGGCAAATACTGATTGAAGGATTCAGACCCCAACTAGGTTTACAGTTCTTACAAAGAATACAAATAAAAATTCAATGTTAAAATAATTTGATATTTTAGTAATTTTCCTCTGAATGATGTTATAAAAGAAAGTGATTATTTCAGACCAGCCTATGTAACAACCTTCTACTTATAGTGGGCAGGCATAGATTTGGTGATTTAAGTGTGGATGAGTGCTGCAGGGAATGTTCTGGTCGGTCGTGTGCACAGATTACTGGTAATTGCTTTTTAGGGGTAATAAGAGGCAAACATGGTCAAAGCAATGTCTAAACTGGGCATCAGTTAAAAAAAATGAAAGACCACTATGACTGTTAATTTACTACATTTTCTTCTGACACAGGTAAGAATAACAGAACCAACATTTTAAAAGGGCATTAGTGGAGGTTTTGACAAATTATTCTGGACATGAGAACGTCAACCACTAATGTTCACATAGGTAAAATCTGGATAAAGTATCCTTAAAATTAAACAACGTTGTTGTGTTTTGAAATGTTTCTTCTTTTTTTGTTTTTTATAACTTCACATTTTTGTACTGTAGCGATATGGGGTGTAAATATACTGTTAATTATCAGTTATGAGTTAAGCTCATAAGATATGCATGTATTATGCAAATAACCTCGTTGTTTGGGCACCACCTCTCTCGGAGAGGAAAATCAGTCTCTATTTACCCCAAATTAATGTAACCTGAACGTGAGTTCTTTTCTCGTGTTTAAAGGGCATCAAATCAGTAATACACACAGATATGCCAAATTAATCACAAATGCAGTTGATTTTATGTATTTTATTATAAAAAATAATTGTATCTTGCACTATGTCCTGGCCGGGGCACAGTGTGCAAGTTGCAAAAAAAAGACCTCGCACATAAACAGCAACATACTAATGACATCATAATACATCTATGCATAAGGAGGCCAACAAAGGCGATGAGTTTGTCCACGGACACTACCAGAGTTCCAAAGTCCTGATAAGAGATGGCACAGCGTCTATCATCCGGCTCAGCTCTGATACAGGTCCACAGATGTCCTCGGGAAGGTGTGTGTGTGTGTGTGTGGGGGGGGGGGGGGGGCCAGAGCAGAGCTTCTTGTTAACATAACCTCCAGGAGAAATTTGAGATAGTTGGCCTATTCAAGACCAAGTGATGAAGTCAGATTCAGATAACAACATCCATTCTGGAACAGGCTGACTCTACTTGATTTTCTGTCTGCCTTCATAGTTCTGCTGGTATATCTCAATGGTGACTCCAAACAGCCAAATTTTGTGGTCACTCCACCGGGCTGTGCTTGTAGCAAGGTCGATTCCTTCCTGCCAGCGAGTTCCAGGGGCCACAAGTAGCCTGCAATTCTCAGAAATCGCGTCCAGCTTACAGCTTAGTTCACAAGGCAGCCGAGTCTGAGTGCTCGAAGCACGGCACATTCCTTCACACAAGGCAGGCAGCCTCACAGTTGCCAGAGCCGCTGCCACCGTCTTCCAAATTTGTTGATATGCCAGATACCCCCAATTCCAAAAAGCAAAAAACCTGTCATCATAAATCCAATTATGTACTTGTCTTCTACATCCTCAACGGACAATATGGACAGACACACCATCTTCCACTGCCCCAGGAATCCATAATGTATCCAGCTGTGAGTGTCCCTTCAGGGCATGAGGGCTCTCCTTTGCCCTGTCTTCTCGTCGAGAAAATTTTATCAATTGCGTTGAGAGACCAGCTGACCAGATCCATAATTTACAATTCAGAAGATATGTAAAGAAAGCTCTGTAAAAGATTCACATGACAAGCGAGCAGAAGCAGGAGGGAGGCAGGAGTGGGAGGAAAAGTGTCCATCTTTGTCGAGAGCAAGCAGGAAGGTTTCCAGTCCATCACAGGGACTCATAGAGACAAACGAGGCAAACAACCATTCACTCTTTCACTCACACCTAGGGACAATTTAGAGTTACCAGTCAGACTAACATGCATGTTTTTGGTCTGTGGGAGGAAACCAAAGAACCCGGAGAAAACCCATGCATGCATGCAGAGAACATGCAAACTCCACACAGAAAGGTCCCAGGCCAGAATTTGAGCCAGCGACCTTCTTGGTGAGAGGCAACAGCTCTACCAACTGTGCCACCGTGCTGCCTGTATCGAACACTATTAAAATTTAACTTCAGGTGTACAAAAACACAACAGATTCCATCATGACAATATTTATTAAACAAAAATGAAGCTAACAAGGAAAAGCTGAGTGAAAAACCAAGTCTACCTTTGCTGCTTTTATAGTATTTAAGGGGGAAAGTTTCAGCCAAGTGCTACTGATCAGTTGTACTGATTAAATGATCTGATGTGATCACCTACAGTAAAAGCAGGAGATTTGTTAGTTTGCTGATCTGGGGTCGACAGGTCTGGGTAAACATATTGTCAAGGAAGAAAAACATTGACACAATTAAAGACTCTCCACATATTACATCAATTTTATGCCTTTTTGACTAATTCCAGGGACTACAGAGAGCTTTCCTAAAAACACATTTTCATACAGTATCTGGGTGTTTCTCAGAGTGGATCTTTAACTACGGGTGCATTCAGTTCAAAAGACATGCACATGTTACAACAGCTGTGTTTCCTAGCAGATCTTAAAGCTCGTCAATTTGAAATCGCCTGCCACTCTGATATAGGTGATGACGTCCATACCAACACGGTTAGGAAACTGGACTTCCTGTCCATCAGGAAGCTCCACTTCAAACACATCTCCAGACAGCTTTACCTCAATCTAAAAAAAATTAAAAAGTGCTTTATTCTTCAATAAAAATATCACAAATAAATCTGTATGCCTAAATATGACCTGAAATTTATTTTGTGTTTGCTTGGTATTGCTGAGCCCTTTAAAGCGTTTCTTGAAAAAAATCTATGGCGTCTTTTTATACTTTTCCTACAGCAAACACTTAATTTAGCTTCTTCAAGCCATGTTTCCTCACCTTTACATCACTTCCTTTCTGCAGAGTGTTGTATTTTTCTCGTTTCTCATCGCCCCAACAACCAGCAACCTTTGAGTTGCACACGAGGACAGCACCATCTGCGTCATCATGGAAACGGGGGTTAAAGTGCAACGCCAGGTCATCGGAGTCCCAACCAAGGTCAATCTGAAATCTGAGCAGGTCGTATTAGATTTTATAAGATTTGCTTTGATATTAAGTGTTTGATGAGCTTTGAAAAACACATTTATTAGTAAAGCAAAAAAATCATCAGACCATAGCATAATTATATATATATATACAAACCGGATTCCAAAAAAGTTGGGATACTAAACAAATTGTGAATAAAAACTGAATGCAATGATGTGGAGATGGCAAATGCCAATATTTTATTTGTAATATAACATAGATGACAGATCAAAAGTTTAATCTAAGTAAATGTAACATTTGAAAGGAAAAATATGTTGATTCAAAATTTCACAGTGTCAACAAATCCCAAAAAAGTTGAGACAAGTAGCAATAAGTGGCTGGAAAAATGAAATTGTGCATATAACGAACATCTGGAAGACCAGTTAACACTAATTAGGTCAATAGACAACATGATTGGGTATAAAAAGAGCTTCTCAGAGTGTCCGTGTCTCTCAGAAGCCAAGATGGTAAGAGAATCACCAATTCCACCATTGTTGTGCAGAAAGTCAAGTCAAGTCAGATTTATTTATAGAGCACATTTAAAACAGAAACTGTTACCAAAGTGCTTAACAAAAATATCACATCAAATAAAAAGTAGCAAGATATATTTACAGCACATGAAATAAAAATATAAAACCGAAAACATAATTAGAAACAATGAAATACTAAATCAGATCACGTTGTGTCAAAAGTCAAGGAAATAATAACAAAAAGCATAAACTCAGTCAGAAACAAATCAGTCAGAAATACTAAATCAGATCTGATGACCTTGTGTTAAATAGGAATAATAACAAAAGCATAAACAGAATCAGCATCGATGAAAAACTAGATCTAAATCTGATCACCCTGTGTTAAATGTCGATGAGTACAGATGTGTTTTTAGGAGAGATTTAAAAGCAGAGACTGAGGTGGCCTGTCGAATGTTGATGGGCAGATTGTTCCAAAGTTTAGGGCCCACGACTGCAAATGCTCGATCTCCTCTGAGCTTCAGCTGGTTTTTGGTACGGCCAAAAGCATCTGGTCTGATGATCTCAAAGCCCGAGAAGGAGTATAAGGATGAAGAAGGTTGGAGAGGTATGATGGTGCAAGGCCGTTCATGCACTTGAATGTCAGCAGGAGAATTTTAAAATCAACTATGACAGGTACAGGAAGCCAGTGAAGGGAGGACAGAACCAGAGTAATGTGCTCAAATCTGTGAGGTCCTGTTAGTAGCCGAGCTGCAGCATTTTGTACGAGCTGGAGACATGAAAGCGAAGCCTGACTAACCCCAACATAAAGCGAGTTACAGTAGTCCAGCCGGGTTGTAATAAATGCATGGACTAGTTTTTCAAGGTCGGATCTGGACAGAACGGACTTAAGCTTAACGGACAGAAAGATAGTACAGCAATACCAGAATGGTGTTACCCAGCGTAAAATAGCAAAGACTTTTAAGTTATCATCATCAACGGTGCATACCATCATCAAAAGATTCAGAGAATCTGGAACAATCGTTGTGCGTAAGGGTCAAGGCCGTTAAACTCTACTGGATGCTCGTGATCTCCGGGCCCTTAAACGTCACTGCACCTCAAACAGGAATGCCACTGTCAAGGAATGGGCTCAGGAATACTTCCAGAAAGCATTGTCAGTGAACACAATCCACCGTGCCATCCGCCGTTGCCAGCTGAAACTCTACAGTGCAAAGAGGAAAGCATTTCTAAGCAAGCTCCACAAGCTCAGATGTTTGTACTGGGCCAGGGGTCATTTAAAATGCAGTGTGGCAAAATGGAAGACTGTTCTGTGATCAGATGAGTCACGATTTGAAGTTCTTTATGGAACACTGGGACGCCATGTCATCCGGACCAGAGAGGACAAGGATAGCCCAAGTTGTTATCAACGCTCCATTCAGAAGCCTGCATCACTGATGGTATGGGGTTGCATGAGCGCTTGTGGCATGGGCAGCTTGCATGTCTGGAAAGGCACCATTAATGCAGAGAACTATGTTCAGGTTCTAGAACAACATATGCTCCCATCTAGACGTCATCTCTTTCAGTGAAGACCCTGCATTTTTCAACACGATAATGCCAGACCACATTCTGCAGCAATCACAACATCATGGCTACGTAGGAGAAGGATCCGGGTACTGAAATGGCCAGCCTGCAGTCCAGATCTTTCACCTATAGAGAACATTTGACGCATCATAAAGAGGAAGGTGCGACAAAGAAGGCCCAAGACGATTGAACAGTTAGAGGCCTGTATTAGACATGAATGGAAGAGCATTCCTATTTCTAAACTTGAGAAACTGGTCTCCTCTGTCCCCAGACGTCTATTGAGTGTTGTAAGAAGAAGGGGGGATTCCACACAGTGGTAAAAATGGACTTGTACCAACTTTTTGGGGATTTGTTGAAGCCATAAAATTTGGAAACAACAGATTTTTCCCTTAAAATGATACATTCTCTAAGTTTAAACTTTTGATCTGTGATTTGTGTTCTCAAAAGTTTAAATTGAGAGAATGTATCATTTTAAGGGAAAAATCTGTTGTTTCCAAATTTCATGGCGTCAACAAATCCCCAAAAAGTTGGGACAAGTCCATTTTTACCACTGTGTGGCATCCCCCCTTCGTGTGTCGCTCTTGCTGAGAACGAGGGCCTTCACCGGACCCGACCTGCAGTCCCACATTTATGCCGATGTGAGCCGGTGAGCGCCGGGGAGCTGTGTGTGCACAATCATCAACGCAACGCTGTTTGGGTGAAGGATGTTTGCGTCGCGTGAGTGCACATTTGACACCGCTTGGGTGAGGATCGTGCAGCTCGGGTTGACAACGAGTTATTTCGCTTACCATTGTGACGTGTGAGCATCTCGTCATGTCTTGGAGCAACGGTGAGTTTAAAAAACCCTTATTTAAGGACACCGGCTCGTTATGTGTGGAGGATGTGTGCGCAGCCGCTGTGATTCATCCGAGCTTACAGACTGGCTAGAAACAGACACTTGATCATTGAATGATGTTTTATTTAACATTTGTGTCATATTTACACACACCCTCCGCAGACCATCATTTTGAATCTTTTCCCCCATGAGCTCTGGGATTTGTTGGCCCAGGGCGCCATCTGCTGGGGATCTCTGGGAAAAACGTTGTACACTGTTGCCGGGATGAAGAGGGCCGGTCTCTGACGGACGGGGCTGAAGCTCAGCGAGACGGCCGTGGAATCATCTTGCCACCGGCTCATTTCGTGTGGAGGGTGTGAGAGAGAACCACTGTCAGATCATCTGAGCTGACAGACAGGTTAAAAATAGACACTTTCATCATAAAATGATGTTTTACTCCAAACTCGTGTCACCTACACACATTCACTGCCAAAACCGTCATTTGCTCTGCCATTTGTTGTCCTAGAGCGCCATCTGTTGGCGGTCTCAGGGAAACGCTGAAAACTCTGTCCTCCGGCT